GGTGCAGATAGTTTTTTGGGAAGGTCGGATGACGGCTTTTGGTGTAAACAATTTTAGTTGCTTCTGTGTTATCGTAACAAATCATATCCCTTCTATTATGACAGTAGACTTTGTTCAAACCTAACCATGTAAATTTTAATTATTATATCTATAACTTTTTATCTTTTATTCGGTGCATCATATTTGCTTCTCAAGGGGCCTTCACATTGAGATAGATGTTCAAGTAAAATGTTAAGGCAGAAAAAACTAACCTGGTTGAAATGCTGTTGCAACTTTTCATTGGTAAAATTGATACAAAATTGCTCAAAACTGCCCACATTAAAATACAAAAAGAAATGGTAAGGGAATTTTAATTTCAATATTATAGATGGAATGATTTCAAATCTTTATGATAAATTACCTGTTGCACTTAAAACTCTCAAAACCATAAATATCAAGAACTCCAATCAGTGACTTTGAATTTGGATCTTGTCCAATTGATACATTGATCTTTTCCACTAACCTGTTGAAGTATCAACAGTCATATTTACATCACTTTCACTTTCACCAACACTTCACATTGCACAATGCTATGGAAAGATTTTATAACATTCTATGCTTGACCTTACCAATCAAAAAGACGAGAATATAAAGTCTTTGCAAGACCATCCCTGCTGACAATTGCAGAAGCAGGATCTAGAGTTCTTGTGATAATTTCTTCTGGTGTCACCATCACACGCCTAATAAGTGCATTTTCCAGTCCCTGGGTATCACACCTACAATGAAAAATAGATTAAAAGCCAATAGCATTATCAGCAATGTGAAATAAAGTCAAGAGAAAAAACAAGAGGACTTACATCAGTAGTTCAGAAGCTGTCTTAAGATGAAACCTTGATTTGCCATCCTTAATGACTGAAGAATCTATTTCCTCTCCTTTTGCAAAATCAATATTCCCTATATGAAGAATAGCAGCTACCACTCTGAATATTGCTTCCTGAAGAAAAAAATTTCAGTTATTATCATGAAGTGACAAATAGCGAATATCTATTGGAGAAAAATAAGACATAATTTCTTTCTAAAAATTTTATTCTAGAAATATAAAAAAAATGATTTAACCTGTTCGCATTCACTGATTCCAACTATATCCATTGCCCTTATTGTAGCAAGATATTCAAGAGAATCATCAACGCCATCCAATTCATAACAATCAGACTGATTTAGATAGTGAAATGATTGTGGACTTCCCAATTTATATTTCTCTTTTACCTGCAAATTACAAGGAATATTTTCTTTAAACTTTA